GAGTGGATCTTTGTGGCTGAGGCAGAGGGATGTCTGCCCCATGCTTGTCACTTTGCAGTAAACTCCAGGTACAAAGGACATACCAGCAGGACCGAGTGTCCATAAGGCCCTTTTGGAAGCCTAAATGAAGCAATTTTCAGCCAGAGGTGACTAACTTGACTGGGGCTCTGCCCTATGCTTCCCTGATTACCCTGACAGGGACTCACCTGTAGCATCCTTGGCTCATCAGTGTGCTATGGCTCATGCTTGTGATTTGGCACACCAATTGGAAATTTCTGGGGAAGAAAGCATAACCAGCAATCCTTGTAGCTCTGTTTCACTAGACCTCACAATGTTAACTTTAAGAGTTTTGTTTGTTTAGTTGATAGGGTCATTAATGTTTTAAAATACAAATTCGGTCAAGGCAACCATTGACTATTGCTGAGGAAGGGCGAGGTTCTGTATCCTCAGTTTATCATCTTCACCCCTCCATTTTGCTTCATCAGTACTGAGGTCATGTGTCCTCACACATTTATTAACAACACACTTAAAATTATTTTTCTTGTGGTAGAGTCAGTGAGAAACTCATGTCTGTTAAAATGGAAAATCTAGTGATAGAGACAAATTCATGTTTTAAGAAAAATAAAAGCAATCATATTTCTTGGAAGTGAAAATATTCCTGTGTATTCTAAACAATGTCAGAAATGATAGAAACTAAATACATTTTAAAGGTAAGGAAAAGTTTGGCAGTGTACTGTTTAGGCAAGACTGTGCTAATTTTTCTACATTGCTGGTGCAACTTTTGTGGAGAGCAACATAGCAACATTTCTCGGTTAAAATGCCCATCTTTCAATCCAGCAATTTCAGTTGTATGCATGTATGCAATAACACTCTTCATGTGTAAAATGACCCGTACAGAATCATCCTCTGCAACATTGTGAGCAATCTTGATGAGGGAGATGGTGTAGATTTGGCCCGATGGGAATGCTAGCCAAAGACACTGATGGCATTGATTTAGAAATAGTGTGTCAGGCATACTTAATGGTGAAAATCACAGGTTTTTTCAAAGACTTCATATATAACTGTAATTGTTTACTCTAATGCTGCTTCTAGTTGTCCAAAGGCAAAATACCCCAGCTAGCTTCTGTGAACTACCTGCTAATCAGCAGTGTACCCAAGGAGTGGAAAACAGGTCACATTTTTTCCACAGTTGATTTTTCTTTTCCCTTCTTCCCTTATTTTTCCTGTTGTATAAATTTTATTTCCCCCCCTTATAATTTTTAGATAAAATAAATATATTGATTGGTTTCCCTTGTAAATAGCATGTTAATGTTAGCATAACTATATGTCTTATTTATTAATACTGTAATACTGAAGGATTAGAAATAAATTATCTTTCATAAAGGAAGTGGAAGATAAAGTACACATGTACTGTAACAGTGTGTAGCTATAAATAAAAACAATGTGGCTTTATATGCATTAATCTGAAAAATTTTCCAAGATATTAGTAATGGTCAGAACAGTACATGTCTACTGTCATTTGGGCGATAAAATAATTATCTACTTTTAATGAACAGAGCATTTTTGGAAGGACAAACAAAAAAAAACTGGTAATAATGATTGTCCCCTGGGAAGTGACTTTAGTGGCTGGGAGCAGAAAAGGAAGACATTTTTTACTGTATACACTTTAAAATCCTTGTGAATTCACTACTTTGTGAATCTAAAAGCCATTAGGTACAGACTAGGATATTATGTCTGTGTTTGTGTTTTACTTGGAAAACATAGGTCTTTACATATATTTGTTAATATATAAAATTGGAAAGTTGCAAAAAGGACAAGAAAAGTGGTACAGGAGACAACCAACTTCCTGAAAGTAAAAAGACAGAGAGACATCTTCTCTTCAGTTACCCACTGTCATGATGTGCTAAAGTGACCCTGATCACATATGCTGAGAGAAGGGAGAAAGGACATACAGAATAGTAAGGGGAAGTTGTGGACAGACTTGGGTTCAACACTGGGCATAAGTTGTCGTGGGATATGACTGCTTCCAGGTACAGAGTATGACCTAGGCTTGGAGTCTCCCTTGCCTAAGCATTCTGGAACTATGAATGTGTCACGGGGCTGTATATGGTATGTGTCAACTAAGGAGCAGGAAATTCTTTTGTTTATGCATTTATTCTTGTAATTTTTATCTTCTTTTGACCAAAGCATAAATTCTTTAGGAATAGGATTACGGATGCCTATTATTGCCATATCCCTAAGTTTCATGAGAGCCTAACACATGGTACATGAAAGATTGTTCACTGATTGATCAACTAGCAGTTTTGATATGAAGCAGTCAACATCTGGTAGAACTAGTGGAAATCACGATCACAAGCTTTACAGGTGTAACACTGAGCTCTAGGTCCAGCAATAATTAGAAAAAGGAGCCACATAGAGATCATACAGTCCATTTGCTACAGACTTTGGCTTCGGCATCCAAACTTGGCTATACCTGAATTATAGCTCTAGTCAAAAGATACTTTTATCTGGGACTCATTCTTTAGACAGAATGAGCTAGTAGTCCTGGACTTGCTTTTTTCTTTTTCTTTCTTTAAAAAAAAATATTGCCACAGGAAGAAAGACACCAAGAAAAAAAGAGTTTTCTGGATAGAAAGCCCACTCTATTTAACTGTAAAGTATTAGAATATATGTAAGCTTATTTTCTTTCCCAACTTAATGCAATCACACACACACACCGTTTGTTTTCCACTTTTAAAATTTTGTTTTTGTTGGGTTTGAAAAAATAATGTAATATTTATGGCAAAATTTCAAACTATTTGTAATAGTTACTATAATACTCATTTATAAATCCATTTTAATATTTATAAAATTTCAATAATTTTAATAAATAATGAGGTCCTTGTTCATATATATAACACATTCATTATAAACATTGATGCATTATTTTACATTCTATTTTTAACTTACTATTCTATCGACCAAAGAATATTTATTCAGAATCAACTGATAAACTAGAAATGTCAAGATATATACAACATAGTTCCTATCCTCATAAAGCTCTCATTTAAGTTGGAAAATAGACATATTTTAAAAGATAAGGCCTTCACTAACAGTTATTTAGGGGAAGGAAATGGTGTAGAGAAAAAAAAAGTTAAATGGATATGCATACAAAAATATAACTGAACATCAAGTAACTTCTGGAAGGGGATTAATTTCATTAAACCGATTTCAAAGCAATAAAGTTTATTATTGTGCATGGTTACTGCAATTATGCTAGAGATCTTTTTTTTTTTTTTTTTTTGAATTGGAGTCTCACTCTGTCGCCCAGACTGGAGTGCAGTGGCCGCTCCCAGCCACTGCAGCCTCGCCCTGCTGGGCTCCAGCGATCCTTAGGTCTCAGCCTTCTAAGTAGCTGGAACTACAGGTGCGCGCTACCACGCCCGGTTAATTTTTTTTTTTTTTTAATTTATTGTAGAGATGAGGTCTCACCAAGTTGCCCAGGTGGGTCTCGAACCCGTGGGCTCAGGCAATTCACTCACCTCAGTCTCCCAATGGCATGGGATTACAGGCTGAGCCACTGAGCCTGGCTGCTAGAGATCATATTATGATTTGGTTTTTAAAACATAAAAAGAACCCTTAAGCTTATCTAAAAAATTAAGTGGGCTAGATTATCCAAGAAAATTATTTGAAATAAAGAATTATTAGAAGGTTTAGTTGGATTGTTGCTTTCTTACTCAGCAAACTAGGTTTAAGCTCATCTGCATATGACATTTTAGCAACTGTAATTGGATCAATGATGAAGCATCTGGGATGAGCCAGTTGGTCCAATCAGACCAAAAGAAAAGACATTTTATAATCAGGAGAAAGGCTTTCTCTATATCTCCCTTATATGAGCAAGTAAGTATTATTATTTTGCTGTCCATTTAAAAAATTGTGGTAAAATATATGCAAGTATTACCATCTTAACCATTTTAAGTATACAGTTCAGTAATGTAAGGTATTCATATTGAAGTGCAACTAATTTCCAGAGCTTTTTATTTTTAAAAAAATGTATACCCATTAACAACTCTCATTCTATGGCTTGTAGATCTGGCAATATACAAAGGTTTCTAGTTTTACCTATAAAATTTCTATTTATCTACATCAAAGATATGACCTTACAAAGTGACCCATGACATTTTTTTTATCTTGCATATATGCACTGCAGCAAAGTTAATCTTGCTTGTGAAAACTTCTAACTACTTCAAAGTCTGTTACATAAACTACTCATTTTTCTGACATTTTAATACTAGATATGAGAGGTTTGAATATTTCCTTAATGATTATGAATTCTTAGTTTTATCTATTTAATGAGGTTCACCATTTCTAACAAGGATGTTGGCTACAAGAAGAATGTATTATTATCTACCATTAGCAAACACTTGGAAAGCAACAAATTGCCCAACAGCAAATACATTGCAGGTACAGCATCTAAAATTATTAGAAAGTTATATTAGTATAAAAATATGCTCATGATATATTGAGTGGAAAAATCAAGTTGCTAAATATGTAGTTTGATCTCATTTATATTTCAAAGAATAAAAGGTGTATATTTGAATATATGCATGCATGTACGTTTATACTTTATATATTATATATATGTATGCACACATATTTATGTACATAGCACAAGAGAGAGATGGGGGAGAGAGAGAACTATCTCTTCTTCATTTTCAGCTTAATTTCAGCTATGGGGAAAGGCACTGGGAACTAACTAGAATAAAAAATAATATATTAATTATAATTATCTTTGGGAGATGGGAGCATGGGTGACTTTTGCCTATTTGCATTTTCTAATTATTTAACAATTATATTATTTTTATAATTTGTGTAGTACAAATTTATATTCAAATTTGCAGTCATTTCTAATAAAATATGTATTATATGATTGTTAAATCCTTAGCCCACAAATAAAACTCACACATTTCCTAACACTATGAAATTTTGACACATACTCAATAAACATTACACAATAAATCTTCAATTCTTCAATGACTTTAATAAATTAAGCATTACATGAAAACACCAAAAAGCACTTTAAATATATCTCCTCAATAATTCTTACAACACTCTAAATTAACTACCAAAAGTTCTGTCTACCTAAGTTAACATTATAAAATTACATGTAACATACTTCAAAGTGGCAAAATCACATGAAATTTTAAAGTAAAAAGAACTCAGAGATGTCTCCAGTTTGGCATTTATACAGTATTTCATTATTCTGTCAGCCAGTGTAAACAGAAACTAGGAAAGTTGGTAATATCTTTGTTTCGTGAATGAAAGGATATAGGTTTAAATATCTTCTTATATAGCACTATTGAAATCACAGCCAGGATTAAATTAGGAAAATCTAAGTTTTTTGTGCTAGCTAATTTTTGGGAATGATTATAACTAATATGAAATTTCCCCCATTTTGTAAAATTCCTTTTCTCTATTGTGTCTTATAGCCCATGATGCAGGATTTAAGAAACTTCATTATTTCTCCATACTTTAAATGGTAGTGCAGGTACCAAACGGCTTTGAGCTGATGAACAGTCATGGGGAAGGCAGTGGAGGAATAAGGAAAGAGATGGGAGGACAAGAATCGGCTAAATTAGTATTAACCAGTTACAAAAGTAAGTGTGAAAGTTCTATCAGATTATCAAAACTCTGGAATGGCAGAATACAACTGGGAAACCTGATACTTGAGTTCTAAAGCTAATGTCCTATAGTTGTATAACAGGGGGCAAGTCAGAGTCCTTGGAAATCAGTTTCTTTAACTGAAAAATAAAGTTTGGGCCAGATTTACTAAAGCACTAAAATCCCTTTCAAACACATTGTTATATTACTCTAAGGAACATACAACTGTGGACACCCAACTAGTATCAAGTACTGCTTTGGCAACAGTGAAAAATATCAGTTTCAATACAATTTAAAACAATAAATGAACTAATATTTTTGAAGCATAAGGCAAATACAAACCACGAGAATACTGCTATTCCATGATAATTATTTTCTTTCATTAAGACAACTTTAACCTCCTGATGAAAAACTCATTAAATCTTATAAATTCTTACTTTATTTTATAGATTTAATGAGGTCCACTATCTCTAATAACAAGCAGCTATTTCTTCAGGGAAAGATAATATCAAGACAACAATACATAATTTTAGGCTCTAAAAGTGAACATGTGTTTGCAAGTTTGATATGAGACAGTGGGCTTGACAGGACTTAAAATTCTCTGAGGCCCCATGGGAGTGTGAAAAACAGCACAGGAACCCTGGAGGGAGGCAGACTCAGTCCGTTAGAATGCATCAGTTGTGATCCCAACTCAGGCACACTCCATATGTAACTCCATAGGCAAGTTATTTGGTTTCTCTGAGACTCAGTCCTTGTATATGTAAAATAAACCTAATCACACCTGAATGGTTGCTGTAAAGATGAGAAATACATTCGTAAAGATCCAGCTGAGATGATATCATTTTTGTGCTACATTACTGACTAAAGCTGAATTTCAACTCCAAAAGCATATTAGACGCTAGATGACAAGGTCAAGTAGGAGACAAAATTAATACAAGGCCATGAAAATATCAAATAAATGAATAAAGACTATGTGGACATTTTCCATAAATTTACCTTCCCCTGAAGCTGTTTTCTAAATATAAGCTATAAAACTCTGGATTAGTTAAGATGGCAGTAATTGCCTTCATCACATTTACATTTATGCTTTAATCTGAAAAGTAATTATGGTATGATAATGACCTTAAACTTCTGTGGAACTTTCCTAACTAATATGTAAGTATATCACTATCTTAAGAATGATGCCATTTGGTCTCACTGAATAGTAAAGTGAGATAGAATTTACAAAGAAAAATGCCAGAGATGGGCTCATTATAATGTGTCTATGATTGTCACATAAGCCTGGAACAGATAAGTACACTCTTGTTAAAACATAAGGCAAACTTCTTAAATATGCCTCAATGATGACAGTTCTACTGAACTACATTGCCTCAACTAACTGAAATTCTAACTTGCAGAGTGTAAGTGCAACTGCTTTGAGCTAAAGATGAGTTTTCAAAGAAATAATGTATGCACACTCCTCAGAGACCATTTAAAAACCTGACTCAAGATGCACAATCATCCACAAATTTAATTATTTCTATAATTATGGTATCTAGATGATTTCCTTTTTATTACTGGGATTAAATATACTTCAAACTTGAATAACATGCAGAGTTTATGAAAAGCGGTCACCCCACTATATGAATGATCCGGATGTAAAAAAGTTTTATGTATCTTAATGGTGACAGCAATCTGATTATTAGCTTTTTCATTTGAGGCAGTTTATCTGCAGTTCAAAAAATGCTTTCACTGATACTTTTACCAAAGTATCTTTTCATTATTAGCAGAAGTGTCTGGCATTTAGTCAAAATAGATTCTCCTAAGTATAAATAATTGAATAATTTAAAATCTATGGCTAAAATTGGCAAATTAATAACAATGTAAGAACTAAAATTATCAAAACACTTTTGAAAATACAGTTCTGCTTGGAGGGCTCCATGGAGGAAGTGCTTCATTTTCAAGAAAGGAATGACGTTTCTTTTGTTTCCGTTCAATTCTTTCCTGCCTTTCTTTATTTTCCTAAAGAGAAAATAGAAAACTATGAGTTTATATACACTTACTAACATTATTTTCAAATCAGATTGCTTGCTGAAGAAAAAATCTATAACATATTTACATATTACTTCCTAGTTTAATAGGTGATAAAGAAATAGCAGCTAAAGAATGCTGTCAGTGTATAAGTATCAATAGGTATTAATGCCACTTAATTTTTTAACATTAAATTAGTATTAAAAAAGAACTGTGTGTATAAGAAAAAGAAGATCTACAATTCTATAACTAAAAGATATTAATATAAATTGATGCTGCCCTTCTGAGAACAGATTCTCAGTAAACTTACTGTGTGCAAAGTCTGAATACACCAGGGCAGCATGAGATACCTCAAATTTTTTGAAAACAGTTGAAAATTCAGCCTCATGTCTCTTTGCTTATTATTGGGCTTGAGCACATTTTCAAACTTTTCGTTAGTGCTTCTGTGAATTTTCAGTTCAATTATTTGGCCCACTTAACTGTATGGGTATCAGTGCTTTTAACTTTTAGTAATGTGTGTATTTTCATATAATAAATATTAATGCTATCTTCATATTGAACATTTTAATCTACATTACCTTTTTTTAGTGCTGTGATCATTACACAATGCATACACGTATGAAAACATCAAACTGTACCTCCAAATATGTTGTTATTTTGTGTCAATTAAAAAAAAAATAAAAAAAATCCACAGATATGGGCCCTGTCCCCCAGAAAACATTCAAAACAGGTAATAAACAAGAAACAGGTAATTCCAAATTGTGTGAATTTCTATGAAACATTAAAAAAAATACTGAGAAAGAATAAAAAGAGCATATACTTCCAAAGAAAAGTGGATTCGGGGAAAGTCCCTTTAAAGTGAGATAAGACGAGTAAGAGCAGTCACTTATGACAAGTATTAGGGGGAGAGCATTTCAAGCAGCGAAAATAATAGGGGAGAAGGCTCTGACAAGTGGGAGAAAACTTGGGATGTGGGAGCAAACATGTGAGAGACAGTGTGACAAAGCCTTGGCAGGAGACAGAAGGGAGAGGGCACAGGTGAGAATAAAAAGGTAGAGGAATAAGATCATACTTGAAGGCCACATTAACATTTAGAGCTTAAATGAAAGAATTTAAGGAGTCACAGGGAAGGCAGAAAGAGAGGTTAGAGGACAGCCAGGAGCAGGACAGACAAGGAGAAGACAGCTGCAAGAGAAGAAGGAAATGAATGGTGTAGAACGCTGAAACCTTCTGGAAAGTAGGGGAGAAACACATTAGACAGCCTAGATGTAAACCCATATCTTTCCAAGTGTGGTTTCGGTGTGGTGATGAAGACAAAGACAAGACTGGAGTGGAATGAGAATGAAAAGAATTTGGAGAACTACGGAAGTATAAAAAAACTTTCTAGAGGTTTTGCTATAAAGAAAAGCAGAGAAAAGTGGCACCACAGATGAAGGGTAAGGCAGAATTAAGATAGTTTATTTTTGTTTAAGATTATATCTCCCAGAACATGGTGGGAATAATTCAGGAAGGTTTAGAAAGAATGCTGATTCACAGAGAAGTGGAATGGTAAATTTTATTTTATTGCTTGACAGAATAGTTGTTTCATATTATTTTCAAAACATTATCTTCTATATTTTTACATTTTTATTATGCCAGATGAATTTTAGATCATTTCATTTCCCTGTGTACACTCTCTTCAAAGAAATGACTGAGAACCTGGGATTAGTATAAGTTCGAAATGTGAGTGGCACGTGGTCTTTCGATCCTGCAACCTGGATTGTCTCTCCATTTCTTTAAGTCTCTGTGAACACTTTTGATTTGATGGGTTCCTCACCTTGGTAATTTTCATATATTCCTCAGAGAGCAGCAGCATCAAGAACACGCTTGGAAAGGCCTGTCTATGTAGGCTGATGGTTCAGGAGGAGAGGTATTAGGGTACTATTAGGTGTCTGCACATCTTTCATCAGTACACGAGAGGAGATCCCCCCAAAAAACCAGAATTATCTCTTGGAGGGTAGGCCCCTTATAGCACAGGCTTCCCCCTATGGGAAGGTGTTCTAGGAACCCATAGGCATCAGTAATCAGCTAGCGTTGTGGTGAGAGGCTGCATCAGCTTCAAAGAATTTTTTTTGTGGAGATTCTTTTTGTGTTGTTTTTTTTGAGTTGGAGTCTCACTCTGTCACCCAGACTGGAGTGCAATGGCACATTCCTGGCCACCGCAGCCTCCACCTGGTGGGCTCCGGCGATCCTTCTGCCTCAGCCTTCCAAGGAGCCAAAACTATAGGCGCGTGCTACCACGTCCAGCCTCGGCCTCCCAAAGTGCTGGGATTAGGCTGAGCCACCGAGCCCGGCCTTGGAGATTCTTTCCATGTGTTTGCCCATTTCATGGTGGGTGATTTATAAGCGTACCCACCAGCACCACACTGAGTGAGCGGTTTTTGACCAAAACAACTTGACCCCCGTGCCCTACCCCCATTCATCTGATTTCACCCCGAGTAACTTTTTTAGTGATTCCCTGGAAGAAAAAAGTCCTCAAAGGGAAATGTTTTGCCAATATGGAACAGGTGAAACAAAAAAAGGCAGAAGCACTAAAGGCATCAAAATTGATGAGTTTGAAAACTGTTTTGAGCAGTGGAAAAAGTGTCTCAACAGGTGTCTTGCTATTACATCAAATGGAGAGTACTTTGAAGGTAATTGAAGTTTAAACACGTAAGAATAAACATAATTTTAATAGATACATTACTTTGGATGCCCCTTGCATATGGATTGATAAATATCACAAGAATAAAATGGTAATACAAGATTTCTGTTCGCTTACAATTATTCACATACAATAAAATAGAATTATGAGCTGTTTTAAATCTTAACATTACTGTTCTTGCTCCACATCATGAGAATGTTTGCATGCCTGCTTGCTTGCTATTCCTATTAAAACAAGGAGGGAACTTCCTTTTAGTATCTTAATTGAGACAAGGAAAGCTGTAATTAGATAACTATCAGTCATTTTAGTATTTTAGAAAGAGGCATACCATCCATCTAGGCAGAGGAAAAGCAGTGACCAGGCTGTGTCCACAGGAAATGACTCAATAAACTTCTTTTTAAACATTCCACTTAATGTGGAGAGAGAATGACTGAAAAGAAGCCTTATCTTACTAGTAGAGTGCTGAAAAGCTGGGATGGCAAATAAAAAACTAATAACCTTTATATCAGTTAACAAGAATCAATATCGCAACCGCAATAATAAGTAAAAGAGCCATGTTGAAAAGCCTTCCAGACTGTCATCTGTGGGAGACTGAACCTTCTGATCATTTTCTTATGAAAAGTAACTATAAATTCTTCTGGGAACTGACATGAAGAGAGTCTCATCCACTCTTTGGCTATAACTTTCTCCTAAAAATTACCTAGCAAATGTTACTCAGACTAGGTAGTACATCAAAATTTTGAGATTCTACTTTACATGAAGGTTGAAGTCATTAAGTGTCCACATAGGGATATTTTTCCATTCTATCTGCAAGCAACTTTCAACAAGAACAAGCTAAGATGAAGCAGATCTGTAACATATTGTATATTTCTGTTTTCAGAGGTAGCACTATATTTGTATGTTTTACTACATATTGAAACATGTTACTTTGCCTTTTGTCTTTAATAAGGTCTTGTTCTTCAAAGGACTAATGAGAATGACAAAGTGACTAAATACTATAATTAAAGATGGTGTATCTAACTGTGACTTATGACTAATGGAATAGTGTGGTACTAAAACAGGTACCAGGAGATTGACCAATGGAACAGAAAGTTAAGAGACCACAAAATATAAGGACGTATCAAAAGACAGCACTCCAAATCAGCAGATAAAAGCTAGGCTATGCTGTAAAAGATGTACTTGGAAAAAGTAAAGTTGGAATCATATTTCTCACCATTAATCAGGATAAATTTTAAGTAGAACAAATGTTAAGATCCTAAAGTCATAGAGTCATTAGAAGTAAAATGGGAGAACTTTGTTTAACCTCAAGTAGTAGAGGTCTTTTCAACTGTGCTTGTAAATCAGATTCATAATTTTACATAAAAATAGAATTAAATTATTCATGGCATAAAATACTGTAAGCAAAGTTGGGAAACCAATAAGACAGTGGGGAAAAATATTTGAAAGTAATATAAAAAGAGGTTAATTTCCCTATTACATAGAAATGCTTCTAAAATCAGTAAGACAAAAAAATCAACAATCTAGTTTTAAAATGTGCAAAATCTATGAATTAACAGTTCACAGAAAAAAATATACAGAGGGTGCCAAAAATATGTATACACATTTTAAAGAAAAAACTGTATTAAAATTGTAATAATGTATACTGACAACAGAAAATGATTATAAGTCATGTCTGACTTCTGCAATTATAAGAGGTGCTCAAAGTGGTTACCATCAGCATCCAGACACTTTTGATTATGACAAACTAAAAGTAATACATAGATAACATCTCTTAAAATGTGTATACATTTTTTTGGGCACTCCTAGGACATATTCATATATAAGTGGAGTGGCCCTTATACAAATGAAAAGACGTCCAAGTTCAATTCTAACCAGGGAAATGCAATCAAAAATACCTTGGATGATATTTTTTAGCTAGCTGATTGGTATAAATTTCTTTTAAAATATGGAAAAAGAAACCCTACTAGACTGTAGATAAATTTTACACATTATAGCTGCTGATGAAAGTGTTACCTAGTCATGTAAAGTACCTAGTCATAAGAATGTATTACTTATTCAAAAAACTGATAAAATGCATATTTGGTATTTTGCTTGACAACAACAGAAAATAACTTTTATAAACACAACAAAATATATATACAGACACATACATGTATATATACATATATACATATATACATACAGTAAAGTCTAGCTAGTTATTTCTCCTCCCAAACCTCAAACTTGTTCTCTGTCATTAAAACACCTACTGGAAACCTTCTCCTTTAGGTCATCAGAAATATCAAAAGAGAACAAAAATGGAATAACTTTCTCACAATTAAATTCAATGTTACTGTGTGTCGTGACCAAGTTCCATATACAATAATCTTGCATACCCTCAGTAGATGTGAGAATTACTGCAAAGGAAGAATGGGCATGACTGGTAAATGGTAAATGGTAAAAGTGGGGATGCAGGCAAAGAAAAAGATTGTAACTGAAAATTTAAGCCTGGGTGTTTGAGGGAATAATAGAGGCAATTCTAGAAATAAGTAAATCAAAAGAAACATACTATATGCAGGAGGAAAGAATGAAATTCATCAAAGCAGGTTCCAGGTAGAAATAGTCATCAGGTATGAAGCAAACAGTACCAGAATTAGGAACAGAAAAAGGCCAAAAAAAAAAAGTCCATACAAAAGACCCAAGTGCATTAACAAATAATACCTACCAGCCATTTTTCATATTCATTAATAGCTTGTTTATCTTTATCTTTTTTTTCAGCTCTTTTCAGTTCCTCCTTTCTTTTTTCATTTATTTTCTCTTTTTCCTTTTGTTTGAAAAAAGCTTCCTTTTTTTCATTCCTATGTAGAATAGTATAAAACACTGGAAGTTAAAGGAGAATCTGCAATAAAGTTACCATAATGTATCTTCAACAATGAGACTGACATGCATTAGTAAATTTCAAGTAAATAAATGTTAGAAAAGGCTGAAAAAAAACTACTGAAATGCTTAGTATTTTGGATTACCATTTTTCAACAGCAGTTAAATTATCTTTCTTTTTCTCAGCAACAGTTTCTTCCTCTTTCTGTTTCTTTGCTCTTTCATATTCTTTCTCCTTTTTATTTTTCTCTTTAAGATATTCCATCTTTTTCTCTTTCCATTTTTCAAAAGCCTGAAAAAGTTCAGTAATTTTCTTACTTACTGTGAATATTATTTAAAAAGTAAAAATAAGGTTAATCATTAAGTCTTAAATATAAGTAAGATATTTTCAAAATTCTTCAATACCTGTAGGGCATCTCTTTTTCTCACAGCATTTTCTTCTTCAGTTTTCTTCTTGTTTTTTTCCTCGAGTCGCTTCTTGGCAGCCATTTTCCTCGCTTCTTTTTCTTTCATAGCCTTCCAGGCCTCAAATGATGCCAATGCTTCTTCTCTCTTAGCAGCTATTTTCTATATTGGACAAATAATTGACAGATATATATATATATATATATATATATGCATGAATAGACAGATACAGCTGGATGTAGATATGCACATATGCATTACCTTTAATCCTTTGATAGTCGTCATACATAAATATTAACTCTCAAAGCAGATAATTTGTTCAGAATGGTTTAGACAAGTTAATTTACAAAGAATATTATTCAATTATTCATTTGTTTTAAAATATCCTTTTCTAAAAGCATTTATCAAATATTGACTTATCATTCATAAGAAAGAAGCCAACTATTATTTTTGAAAGTGTACTAAACAAATGATATAAAAATAAACTGCAATAAGCTTAGCGGTATTGTAAAATGTTGACAAAAAATATTTCAGTTAAAAAGATCAATAAAGTTAAGGGCTAATAAAGTTAGAGCAACACAGTCAGCCAAGTGACACAATAAGGTGCACATCTTTGGTTAAAATTCTATTTAAATGATATCAAAGCATAAAATTCTTACTATACAAGTGTATTCAAATTTGTGAAAATGTGTGCCAGACTAAAAAATATGTAGAAGACTGTGTAGCAAGCTATGTTATTTTAATTTCTTCAATTTAATCCCAAAATATTCTGTTTGCTTTATAACATTGTTTAATGCTAAATGACAAAGAGCTATATTAAGAAAGTAACATAATTTAAAAGTGAAAGTACTATCTAACTCACAGAGTTGTGAAGATCAAATAAGAAGGTACATGGTACAGACTACAGCACTACAGTGCTACAGATGTGGTGACGGTCAGGGCACATAGGCACATCCCCTGGAGGGCAGCGCCATTCAGTACCAATTCATTAAAGTTCAGTTCATTTTGGAATTTTTTTTCTAAATCTATTTTAGTAATGAACAGAAAAACAAAACTTTTTTTCAAAATTTTTATTTTAGAAGATAGGAAAATACTGATTATATTGTAGGCTATCAGGCAGGAGTTAGAGGAAGAGAAAGTATAGGAGAAACCAGACAAAAGTCCAGCTGTAGTCAGTGGTTAAGGATATAGGCTAAGAGCTCAGGAGAGATACATATAAAATTCAAGAGAGTAAAGTGGAAAACTGAAGGAGGAAAAGTGGAAAACTCATGTCTAACAATCCTTAATCTTCTTGGCTGAGTTCTAAATGGAATCAGGTTTTAAGAGTAAATTAAATGGTCACAAACAGTAAATTCATAATCAGTAGTGACAAAGCTATCTTACACATATGTAAAACAATAATCTGTGTATCCACATAAAACAGTTAGATTTATATCAAATTAAAAATGTACAAGACATACCAGAAATAAAACCAAAAATCAATTATTTAATATAAGTTATTTTGCCATTTAAAAAAGTTGATTTAGAAAACTTAAATATCCAGAGATATTTTACTGACATAAAAATCCAAAACATCTTTACTTCTATATTTCAGAATACCTGTTCATTTTGGATCCTTAAATTTTCACTTTCAATCCTTTTTATTCTGTGCATTTCATGTAAATATACATTTTTCTTTTCTAACCACTCCTATGAGAACAAGAAAAAGGCTTTATGATATTCAAAATGTATTAAATGAATTAGAATGTTTATTAATTTCTGAAATATTTGATTAAACTTCAAAAAAGGAAAACATAAGATTTATAAATTCTACATAAACTAGTATTTTTCTTCCTGTGGTAAAATTCAAACATATGAAGGTGAGTACTAGTTAAAGAAATTATATGTGCTATCCTTAGTATTAACAATAAACTTCAAAGATTGAATATAATGACTAAATATATTAACATTTTTCTCAGGAATTCACATGCACAATTTTCTGCCTTAAAAAACAAGCTCCCCCCCCCCCAAAAAAAACCTTTTTCAGACTTGTGAAAAAATTAGTGAAATCTTCTGTGTAAACATAACAAGGTCTCAGGAAAGAAAAACTTAAAAACTTTTTGTCCATAATAATTTAAACTTCAAGGTGAAGAAGCATAAAAACATTTATAGACTTTACAACATTTTGGTGGTTTGCTATATATCAATACTGCAGTGGTATATTCTCTTTCTTTAAAAACAACTATGATCAGTTAGGCAAAGTATAGAAGCAAATAATTTAGTAAAAGAGCTTTGGATTGATTGCTCATATATTATAAAGAAACATCTTTCCCAATAAATCTAAGTGTTAAACTATCATTTTTGACAGGCCCACTCTAGCCTATGATAAACAGTCTTATAAAAGTAATTCATTCTTCTTTAAAAAATATTTTCCTGTTTTACCTGATAAACAGCTGCCCGTATGTTATCTGCTTTGTCAGGTTCTATGCTCGGTTTCTGTGAAGGTTTTTGGTCCAAGACTTTCAAAGTCCCTAAATAGTGAGAAGAGGTAGTTGACGATGGAGATCTTCTTTTAGAATTAGATTTCTTTAAAAATTCAGAGGTCATTAATCTGAAAAGATCCAAATGAATCAAGACAAAATATTACAATTGCATGTGGGTAGAAGAAAGATCTGTTAAAATATGCAACTATTATATTTAAAAGCATTATAATTTAATAAAATACAACTACTTTGAAAATGATGTTGGTAAATTGTGTACTCTCTGCTTAGTATATGAAGAGTCTCATTCAACATAATTTAAGTTTTATAACTTCTAGTAATATAGCTTTAAAATGATTGTTCTTTTTATACGTTTTTAATTAGAACATTATTAAGAATCATGGACCACATCTCAAGTTACTTGAAAAAATATTAATAAAGGTTTTAATTAATCACTTTTCAAATATTTTCATGTATTATTTTGTTACATGAACCATCCTAAATATAAAGTTAGAAAGAATAGTGCCCTGCATCTCAGGAGTTAGTGGGAAATTTAGCTTGCTATCGTTTTGGTAAACAAAGTTTATTGCACCACAGTATGTTCATTCATTTAAGCATCGTCTATGGCTGTTTTCCTGCTGCAAAAGAACTGAGCAGTTACAGCAGCGACTGTATTGCTCACAAAACCTAAAATATCTATTAACTGGCCATTTACAGGCCTTTTCTATTTGATTCACAACAATTTGATGAATGACAATTTAAAAGATTCAGAAGGTTTTGATTAGCACTTATTAATTAGGCATTCATTATCATTGGCATGGATAAAGCTATGTAAATTTTTATCATTTTAATAACCCACTCAGTTCATAGAAACTGAAGGCTCTAAGTACAATTTTTCATGTGTTAGACAAAAACACATAATTGCTAAGTATAATACTGGACTTTACCTTTATCACTATTTTATATCTATTATCTCAGGAGAAACAGAAAAAAGAAAAGCTCTACTGCAGAAGCAGCATAGAGTGTGGAAAATCTCTAATCACTGATATTGGGGAAGAAGAAAAATGTCCCCAGACGGAAGACCGTGGATAGTAAAGGTATTGCTTAAACATTCTGGGCATTAAAACAACTGGTGGTGACAGACTTGATTATTTTATTAATTATCTTATTTAAAAGAAACTAATCAACTAAGAAGTTTTATCATGAAGTAACTACTCCATCTCATGAGAAGGAAATGAAGAGAGAATGAAATAACACCAAATAAAAAGGATTTTATGAAAGTTAAATTATAACCAGCATTGCTATGATGCCAACCCATAAATGAGGAATAGTGATAACTTTATTACCTGCTAGATGCACTGGAAACTCTATTATTTGGTGACTTTTTATTCTTCGTATTTCTATCTTCAATTGCTTTCTATTAAACAGAAAATGCCATATATGGTTTATACACTATCCCTGTTGGGCTAAGAAACCATCTTTTTAAGCATCTACTATATGTCAAGTACAGTTGGCACTGGGAACAAAGCAGTATATAAAATGTCCCATAGGATATTAAACTTTAAAGAGAACAACAAACACAGTAACAAATGTGACTTATGAAAAAGATAAAAGATAGAGTACAGTTACAGAGAGTGACTGGAGTTGGTTAAGGGGCTGCTTTAATAAAGTGGATCGGAAAGGCCACTCCGAAGGATTGACACTGGAGCTGAGACAAATAATGAGTGGAAAGGACATGTATGAAAGTCCATGGCAAGAAAGAAACAGCCAATGCTAACAGACTGAGAAGGGAAAGAGCTTGACAGTTTTCAAAAACAGGAAAAGGTGAATGGTGCTGAAGCCCAGTGGATGGTGGGGAGAGTAGAGAAGATGTGATTGCAGGAGAACCCTGTGAGATCAGCAGGCAGTGGCAAGGAGTCTGGATCTCGTGGTAAGAAACGAAACCAACAAAAACACTAAAGGAAGATAAGCAGATTCCCAGATTTAAGAAAGATCATTCAGTAGAATAAATCCAAGGGTCTAATCAAAATAATTATGCTACTGTCTTACTTGTTATATATAGACTGCCCATTCTAATTTAGAATGACCTCCATTAGATATTTCTAAGATCTTGTCTATAAACTCTAGAATATTCTTCTTCTGTTTAAGGAATAACTTTTCTACCTGACACAGACAGATGAATGTTAGCAGTAAAGATGAGTGTTAGCAGTAAACTGAGAATACAGGTGTAAACACATCCCTAATTTGGCAGTAGTGGTTTTTCCTAAGGAAAGCAGCTAAGGATGATAGACCTGAAACATGGCTTAATGATCTTTCTCTATTAATTTTAATAAAAACAAACATTTTGTATTCTAAAAGTCCTGCTCAACCACAAATTTTCAGCTAGCACTATTTTCTTCCTCTAGTAATGATTACACATAGCTGCTAGCTAGCCACAACTATAAGAAATAATGACTAAATCTGTGAGAAAAGAAGACTGAAAATGCTATACTATAAGTTTTAAAAGTATAGTACCCAGCCACAATTTAGTGTAGGAATGAGTAATCCGACATATTACAAATCTGTTTCTTAAAGTTATAATAATGCTCTTGATGATGACCCTGTCCACCTATTTTTTAAAAGCATAGATGTTAATAGACATTTCTTATAGACTTTCACTAAAGTTAAAATATTTTAAAATGATATCCAGAAAGATAACTTTAATTCACAATCTCAGAAATTGTTCCAGACAGCTATATTTCTAAAATATGAAGAACCACAGAAGACTATATACTTTGGATATGCATTTGAGATATTTAGAAGTATATTATTAGCATATAATTCTGATAATTTTAATAAAACATTGGGTTTAATTATATTCACTATAAACTTTCCTTGAAGTTCAAATTTTATTGAATTGAGAACCACTTGACAACACCACTGGTAAAATACCAGTCTTTCATAGGTAATTCAGAAGTACAAAACACAGAAGACAAAATACTTTAAGGTTCCATTTCAAGTTTAAGCTATAGTATAAAAGGTAGAGAATTATATAAATACCTTTGCAGATTCTGTTGCATTGGTAGGTATTAAAATACCTTGAGATTTAGATAGTAGTGGATCAATAGTTATGTCATCCTCCATAATCAGTTCAGCTTTCTCCTTTTCTTCTTCAAGGTCACCAGTAGTCACTTGACTTTCCTTAGATTTCTCAAGTGCAGTAATGATAAAGTCTACTGAAAATGAATTCTCTTCATTTTCATCTGATTTCAAAGAATTATGGTTTTCAGTAAATTCTTCATTCTCATCTATTTTCAAGACAGAGTAACAGCATTAAAACCCCCTTCTGAATTAAGAAAGTAGATAACAGATTCATTTGCTTTCCCTTAAATGAGGATTCTCTATAATCTTTTCTTGCAAAATAAAATACAAAACTATCATATTAAACATGAATGAACCTTTTTTAAAGAGTTATCTATACAAGAGAAAATTACTACCCTTAACCTAATAAAGTACTTGACAAACTTAAAACTTAGAAAAATAGTATATTAATAAATTGAATGGAATAACTACCCCAACACAAAGATACCAAAAGAGCTAGCTGATGTATAAACTAATTATGTGAGATAGCTGTATCTGTTCAATCCTATAAGCCTGTGTTTCTTAACTGGAATAATAGGCTGTGTTAAGTAGGAGGCACATATCTCTAGGTCACTACAGCTACTAGTAATACAATTATTGAATTGTATAGACACACAGAGAACCAAGAATTAATGCAGCCTTACAGAGAAGAAAGCCATTCTCTAGCTTCATTCCCATCGTGATGCAGTGTTGCCTCTTATACCACAAGTGGCACCAAAGACAGGCCTATTACTTATCCTCTTGTTGCTCCAAGGGACAGGCTCAAGCTCTTATAGTTAGCTTTTACAGAATTGCTTCTATTATTCTGATTCTACCATACTTTGGAATGCTCAACAGAAAGAAATCAGTACTTTCTGTAAGGACCACCAACTTTCAATTCTACCAAGAACCACCTCCTGGTTAAACCTGTATCTTCACTGTCAAAAGTCTTAATTCTTCTGGTTTCACTAGGATGATTTTTTGGAACATGTTTTGAGGTAAACTAGGTGTAAAAATCACTTTATTATTACAGTTATACTTTCACATTTGGAGAGTACTCATGACTCAATTCATTATTGGATTCTTTGGAGCTGTTAATCAATCTACTCTGTGAAAAGAGCAAGAACTTCAGAGCCCAAGATTTAAACCATGGCTCCATCACTGACCTTGGGTATGTTTCTCAAAAATCTCAGCACTTCAGTTTTTCTCATCTGTAAAATGACAAAAATGATACTACATAGTAAGCACTTAATAAATGTTAGTTACACATTCCTGGAAATAGCTATGCCTTTTGCTCTCATTAAGCTATGTGTCATAGCACTAAAAAAGAATGCTAACAACTCACATATCACACTTACTAGGTGCTTACTATGGTATGCTTGTAAATGCTTTACATGAATTAATTTGTTTAATTCTCATAACCACTATGAGGCAAATTACTCTTGTATTCTCCATTTTAAAACCAATATACAGGGCCAAAGAAGTTACTTTGCTCATGTATTCAAACCTAGCTTAATCTTACTCTAAAATTCTACCTAGCTATAATGTTGTCCTGCAGAATACCGCAGCAACACATTCATAATAATAGATCACCTCAAGTGCTCACTCCACTTGTGCCAGCAACTAGGCTTGTGGCTAAAATGTACTATACCATTTAGTTTTCACAACACCCTTATGAGACAGGTAATATTATAACATGGGGAAATTGAGGCACTGAGAGATTAAGTTTGCTATCTAAAATCAGTTACTAAACTGCACAGCCAGGATTAAAACTCAGGCAATCAGAAACATATTTTCCTTGTAAATACGCACAGTATTATTTCTCTTACAAATATAATTCTAAGTAAAACAAGTTCACAAGTAAGAGAAGATAAAATAAATAGATACAACCACCTTTTATGGATACTTTTCCCTCAGTTCCTGGTGAAAAGGAATCTCCAAGACTTCCTTTAAGTGATGGTGGACTTGTTAAGCATGAGTTCTGTTAATTAAAAAGAAAAAAATTTAAACCATCTCATAACTCCAAAGTCTGCATTATTAGACATTTGCTGCTGAAACAGCAAATGAGCTTTGCTTTTCCAGATTTCATGTGTTGGTCATTAAAAGGGGTCACTAAAAGTTATTTTGGTTCTTAAGCTAGCAGCCACCTCTTTATTTTTTTGGTAATTTTCAAAACTCCTACTGCTCTAAAATCAAATACCTTATAAATATTTAAGGCAAAGATTTGCTTTTGATAACTCGTTCTATAATCCTTTGAAGAAAAGCATAAAGATGGTAAAAAAAAAAAAAAACAAACTTTAGTTTCAAACAAATATTGCTAGTTGTCCAAATGAAAGCATTTATAAAATCAAGTGGCTACAAATATTTTAGAGAAGTATAAATTTCATGCACATGAGTTCTTCTCAAAATTCTGAAGATTATACCTGAAATGAAATAATTATATTTGTGTATCTAAAGATCTCTTTATAGAATATTCTAGCTTAAAGGTGATAATATTATAATAAGTTCAATTTTGTTGTACAAATAATATATTTTAATTTTCATTCCCACAATATTCTATGGGTACAAGAGAAATCATATGTCAGAAACAACAGAGATAAACCATTTGGAAAGAAGGCAGGAGGGTTGAGACACTGGAGTCTACCTTGAAAAACAAAGCTTCACCTGAGATTTGAAAATGAGTAGCTTTTTGCCTAAAGGCATTCCCAGATGGGTACATCTCAAGTATTTGAATCTACAGTCTCAGGGGACTGGCTAGAGGGGAAAGACAATCGAGTCCAGGAGCAGATCAGCCAGTAGGTTTGGGGAGAAGTAGCAGAGTGCAGTGATCACAAAGTCTGCATATGAAATTCACCAAAAACCCTTGCCTCATCTATACTTGGAATAAGAGAGATTTTAGAGGATCCTGTAAAACCATAGAAGCTAAAAAGAATAAAGCAGAGATTTCAATTGATTTCCATTGCAGGGGAGACAGAGTTGGGAATTTGTATCCAGTCATGATATATGCTTTGCTAGAGTACATGTTTGGAGAGACATAACAAATCCCAGAATTTCTACAACATATCATTCATAATATCTAGTATTCAATCAAAAATCCAGGGTGAAGAAACAAAAAGTGGTGAGACACCCTCATGAAACACACACACACACACCCCCCGCAAACAAACAACAGTCAATAGGAATCATCCTAGGGATGACCCAGACTTTGCAGTTAGCAAACAAGGGCTTTAAAGTAGCTATTAGAAATACGTTCAAACATTTTGAGGAAGATATATATTCAATGGTTGAACAGATGGAGGATTCTTATTAGAGATACAGAAAATACAAAAATACCAATGAATACTGAGTAACAATAACTGAAATAATGAATTCACTGGATGAACTTAACAGCAGATTAGAGATGGTAAAAAAGGTCAGTGGGCCTGAAAACAGGGTAATACACATTGTTCAACCTAAAAAGCAAAAGAAAAAAGATTGAAGAAACATGAACAAAACTTCAGAGATCAGTGAAATACATTCAAAATTTCAAAATATGTTTAATGGTATTCCAAGAGAAGAAAAAAATAGGGTAAGAAAAACAAACAAACAAACAAAAAACCTCCATCTAGAAGGCATCAGCTTACAGATCTGCTCAAGAAACCTCAAACAGAATAAATACAAAGAAAACTAGACCTAGGCACCTTGTAGATACATTGCTGTAATTAAAAAAGAAAAACCAAACTTTTGAAAAGATTCCTAAAAGGAAGCAGAAAAACCCAATATATTATATATAAAGGATGATAAAATAAATGTTTACTGATTTGTTAATAAAAACAGGGTAAAGCTATAAAGAGCTGAGCGTAGAAGGAAACTGTCAGCCAAAAAGGATACATTCAGATAAACTACCCTTCAAAAATAAATATGAAATACTTTTTAGATAATTAAAGACTGAGAACAAAAAATAAAATGCCAAGGTAACTCTACAGTCATCAAAAGGGTGAGAGACTATCATGAACAATATAAGTTCAACATATCTGATAAAACAAATAAACTTCTAAATAGACACAAATTGCCAAACTGATGAAATAGAAAATCTGAATGCTTAAATATCTATTAAAACATTCCAATGTAATGCCACTGACATTTCCACACAGAAAATTCCAGGCCTAGAAATTTTACTGGTAAATCTTCTCATTTAAGGAATAAATGATACCAAATTTTTGGTTTCATATCAAAAACACATTTAGAAAGTAAAGAAGGAAGTGACAGTCTCCAACTCATTTGATACTCAAGCTTGATAACAGTATGAGGAAAAAGTGACAGACCAGTAGACTTCATAAATATAGATGCAGAAGTCTTAACCAAATATGAACAAATCAAATCCCACAATAAAATATCATACCACAACAACCATAGTTCATCAAAGGAATACTAGGTTTAACATATGAACATGAATCAATCTCTCTCTCTCTCTCTCTCTCTCCCCCCCCTCTCTCACACACACACACACGCACGCACGCACGCACGCACGCACACAGAGGAAAGGTGGGAGTGAGGATGTAATGAGAAAGCTAATGTAGCTTACCCTTTCAGTAGATAGATGGCTGTGACACTAGGCGGAGATGTAAGGCAGTAGGGGAAGAGGTACAATGTCAAGTGGGAATTTACACACAGTTAAATAGGCTTGAGCATGGCTGAATGTGGATGGAAACAGACCAGTGGAGAATCAGAGGTTATTGATACAAAAGAGAAAAGGCTTGAACAAAACATAGATGAGGAAATCTCTGAAAAGGTGGATTTAAAGAAGACTCAGCACACAGTCAAAAAGACTTTTATGAGGAATAAAGAAAATTTAGATTGTTAAAAATAGAAGTATCTACTATACCCAACAAAAAAATAATAGTTCTGCATTATGGGCTATGTAATAGTCATTAACATGAAGAATGCAGTCTCAAGATCACCTAGCAACAATGGAAATAAGACCTAATGCTAAGAGAGAAAGAAGAGGGAGACACAGACATACAGAGGAAACATAGGCAACAAGATTATGTGGTAACGAAAGCAGAGATTGGGGTGATGCAGCTACAACTCAAGGATTGCTAACCACCACCAGAAGCTGGACAAGAGAAGCAGACATTCTTTCAAAGCCTTCAGAGGGAACATGGCCAGGTGGATGCCTTAATTTCAGACTTCTGGACACCAGAACTAAAAGAATAAATTTCTGTTGTTTTAAGTCAATCAATTTGTGGCAATGTGTTACAGCAGCTATTGGAAACTGGTACAAAATTCAACTGACCAGGTAATTTTATTAAATACAAAGTGATTGCTTGGGTTTCTTTTGATTTTCAGGACAAATTGAGAAACAGTCAGTGTCAGATAGATGTACATTTAATTGTCAGCTATTCTGGTAAAGCTGAAGAATAAGTTTTGAATTGATGCTTCCTGAAACTTCAGGTCTGAATTAGAGGAATTCCTCCCTTCAGTCACAGAACAAAGGTACTCCCCTCAGCCCTTTTGCATCGCCTCCCAGGGAGCATATCCTTACAAGGCAGACAACGGGTGAGAAAAACAAAAAAGCTTGGCCAGGTAATATTTACTTCCTTTTCTCCAATCCGCACAAGCAGATTATGAAGAAATGTTCTTCCCACACTTTTCCCTTCTCAAATTTTCAGAAGGAAAAATTTGCTTCCCAAAATGAAATGTAAAGAAAAGGACTACACGTTCTCCCTTAATAACGATACATAGAAAATGCCCTGATGGAAACCTGAAAGGCCACATTTAAGCCCATTTAGGCATAACTCAAAGAATAAGGAACAGTTCCAAGGGCAATCAATACACATTCATTGAGTGAATCAAATCAAATGAATAAAATGATTCTGACTATTGTCCTTAGCCATAAATTATACAATTCAAAGATAAATACAAAAAAAAATTATTAAGGATATGCAATATTGTATAGAATCAGAAAAGCAAAATTTTGTTTGCATTTTACCTCCTCTAAAATTGGATGAATCATACAATCACTGTGTTATAATTTAATTGGACAAGTTTTCTTCTTCCTTAGTGGTATGCAAAATAATGCTACATCTTACAATGATAGAGTTCAATGGAATATAGTATATAAAAAAATCTTAATTATTTCCTTAATCAATTGCAGAAGAAAACATGTAAAATAAACATACACATGCAAGCAAATTCATTCTCTCTCTCATAATCAGATGCAAAGGCCTAAATTCAAGAATGCAAATCAACAGTTCAGCAATAGTGCTAACCTCGAGATCAAGGTTTTTAGGCAATTCTCTTTTCTCAGCTTCTAATTGTCTGCCATTCAGTGTTGGAGGGGAAACAGGTGCAGAATGTGACTCTTTAAATTCTTCACTGAGGGCAGCTTCTTTATCTTCTCCTGGTCTATCTTTCTCCTCCCTGTGGCTATTCTTTTTTAACATGCTCCTTGGTCGAGGTGAAGGTTTAAAGTGGTCAACTATTTCAAAGCTGCTGCTGTTTTCTGCTGAAAAATAAAATGCTTTAAGGTGTGTGAACAAAAAAAATAACCATGGCTTTGTGTATCCCTCAAGGTGCCACCATACTTCCCTCCTGTGTCCCTTGGTTTTGTCCTGGAGATCCAGATAAAGCCCACACAGTTCTTTATAGGGAGCTCCAGTAGAGCACAAATCAATGATAGGTAATAATCAAAGTAAAAAAACCAGTTGCCATCCTAAAGGGACCAGGATACTTTAGTTTTATGAAAAGTCATCTCTTCAACATTATTAACTTTCAAAGTACTCAAAAAAAATTTAAAAACCAAAACAAAATTTTGCCCCAGTTTCTACCTCTATAACTGGAAGAAGTTCATCCACCCAACCTTTGCGTACCTGATGCCAGGCCCTGTACACATGACTGAATCTCATAACCAAGACAGTGACAATGGATCTGTTCTTTACATATACTGTTTAAATAGAATACTGTATAATGTCTGAAAGAAGGTGCTGAGTGAATTGTTTTTATTATTGTGATAACACTTAAGATCTACCCTTTAATACACTGAGTGCAAAATACAGTATTTTTTTTTTTTTGAGTTGGAGTCTCACTCTGTCGCCCAGACTGGAGTGCAGTGGCCGGTCCTGGTCACCGCAGCCTCGACCTCCTGGGCTCTGGCGATCCTTCTGCCTCAGCCTTCCGAGTAGCTGGAATTACAGGCATGCGCTACCATGCCCGGCTGATTTTTTGATTTATTGTGGAGATGAGGTCTCGCTGCCCAGGCGGGTCTCAAACCCGCTGTCTCAGGCAATCCATTCACCTCAGCCTC